CGGGCTCCTGGCTCGTTACCTGAAAGGGGGAGGGACAACGAGCGTCAAAGCGCTAGCGAGCAACATCACAACCAACCCCAAGGGAACAGGGCTCGTTGTATAAGAAAATCCAACCCCAAGGGAAAAGGGCTCGTTGTATATGAAAATACAGTTAATACATAATAGATCTAAAATCATTGATCTTGCTAAAGAGGGTTTTAGTATTTAGAAATTTACAACACGAGAATAGGTACGTCGAGCGAAATAATCCAAACAAGGAAACCCTCATGTATATACCTTATATCTCAAATTGTAAACCCCTAATCACCAAACCCGAGGTTCTAATACAGGAACAATAATAAAAGAAATACACATAGCTTACATGAGTATCATGTTAAAATTTGCATAAGTGTCATGTCAAAATCTACATAACCATCATGTCGTGAACTTCTGTGAGAAGGTCATATGCAGGGTTAAGAACTATGTCCGAAACAGGAACTATATATGGTAGTTTCCAACTCATAGAATAAGTGTCAAATGTCCAACACGAGGACTGAAATGGATTATAGTCCAGCACGAGAACTTCTATGGATTATAGTCCAACACGAGGACTGTGAAATAGTGAAAATATCGCTGTGATATATATATTGAAGTCTACTTATATCAATCCACACTCAAACCAGTGTATAAGTCCCAAATTTATACCCTCAGGTCATCTATCATGCATGGATACATAGTAAGGCCAAAAACCAGAGTCAAATGGCAGGTCAGAACTTCGAACATGAACAGAACAGACAGAACAGGGAATAACTTAGCAGACTGTGTGGCGGTCGACCGCACCGGTCGACCGTGTTCTGACATGAGCCGGGCGGTCGACCACTGCGGCATCTCGGTCGACCGCCAGAACGTCGCGGTCGACCGGGTCGGTCGACCGCCGACGATTCTCTGCCCTACAGAGAGACCAGCGGTCGACCGCGCCGGTTGACCGCCGAGCGGACAGAAACCCAAATCTGGGTTTCTGTCAGCTCAAAACCTGGAACAAACGATAACAAGTGTTCTAAAGTTCTAGAAGAAAAACAACTAGTCTCAAGCATGAAATCCACATTCCTAATATTTCAAAATACATGAGAAACAAATTAAAACGTTTTAATGACAGTAAAACATGGTTAAACTCTTGTTTAAGAAATCTCAGATCTAGATCTTCATTAGACAAAACATTGGTGAACTTTCATAAACTGAAATATTGATTCTTGCAATCCATGTTGTAAATAACTCATTTTTATACGAAAATACCTTTTGGGCTCTTCAAAAACTCATGAGAAATCGAAATAAAACCATAGAAAATAGGGGTGAGGGATTGGGCGAGATGATACTCGCCTTAGGTGCTGACAAATGCCCTGAATATGATCCTCCTTCGATCTGACCTGCAAACTCCCACTGCAACTCCTTCAACTTCCCAAAAATCACCAGATCCAGTAGGGTTTTGGGAGAATAGGGATGGGGCTAGGGTTTTACGTCTGGGTTCAGGAGAGGCTCTCCTGGGTTGAAATAGAATATATACCAATGCCCCAACCCGACCGGCGTCGACCGCCACCCAACTGTCACAGAATTACACACTGTAGCCGTACCACGGTAGTCGACCGGCCAGCCCCAAAGATGCTTGCTGTGACGGAAATCATAATGGCATATTACTCGATCTCTTGCACATTACTAATTACCTTAATGTTTCCCAAACACTGATAACATGTACATTCATTATATAACACGACTATTTATCACAAAAGACAACGTATTCAGTTACTATGAATTCACCATTTCATAAAAAGATTTTGGTTTTACATATATTCACGCTACTGGTATATTGTGGGTGTGGTGGTGTTATATATCAACTTATATATTACTACTACCTATTAGTATTGTGTTAGTATATACGCTTCTATACCAGGATATACATATATAGTATATATTTATATAGTTGCTAAATTTAAAGTACTTATACTATCCTAGTAGTTTAGTACTAGCGTAATGTAATCTAGCCCCTAGTACATGTATAGCCTGGACGTAAGTACTATCGATGATAGTATACAGCTACCTGACTTTCTCTCTTTTCTTCTTCATCTCTCATGTTTGAGCAGCAGTCACCCTCCTCTTAAAACCCTTTTTGTCAAAATTTTTGGAGAATTTTGTGAAGCATAGATTATGAGGAGGGTGATGCCTATGATTTTTGTGAAGGAGGATCGAGTTCCTCACACGTTTGACACATCAAAACAAATTCAAAAAGCAAGTTCATCTCTTCCCTAACCCATCCCCTTAGATTTTTGTTTTTAATGGTTTAAAACCTAATTTGATGAATAGATCTATAGATCGAGCACTAAATAAAGAAAAAAATATGATTTTTTGATGATTAGAACCATTAGTAATTGCTAATTGATGAATTGATTAGGATTAGAACTCTAATTATTCAACTTAAATCTTATTAGTGATGTTTAGGGAGATTAAATCCTAAAAAATCATGTTTTGTTAACGCATACCGCTTGGCCAAGCCCCCACTTTGTTAAATACAAGATTTAAAGATGTTTTCATACCTCATGATAATGTTTCACGAGTTCTTTTTGAGAAAGTCGATTAACTTCTTAAAAACTACGTTTTTGTTCCAGTACGCGGGTGGGTTGACTGACCCTATGGATCAGTCGGCCAACTTGATCCTGAGGATTGTATGATTTTCTCTCTGTTCGGTCGACAGACATATGTATCGTTCAACTGATTTTTGAATGCTCACTGTCTCGGTCGACTGATGGCAATCAGTCGACTGATCAAGTGTCAGTCAACTGATCCCTAAGGGCAGTCGACTGATCTGTTGATTTTGCTTATGATGATCATCCACGCATGTTTGGTCATGAACACAAAGAATGAGCCATCCATCGATAGACGTGCATGACCATGAGAGTGCACGTTTAGGGTTTGAGCACACACGTGCGTAGTCTAATGTTTTGCGTTTAACACGATAGGGAATGATGATTGATTTAGTTTACGATAGTTTTGGATGCTTGAGTGCATTATCCGTGCACCACATGAGAGCATGAGAGACTACACTCTAAGTGTGTTAGTCCGTGTACCACAGGGAATGATGATTGATTTAGTTTACAATAGTTTTGGATGCTTGAGTACATTATCCGTGCACCACATGAGAACATGAGAGACTACACTCTAAGTGTGTTAGTCCGTGTACCACAGGAGATTTTGTGAGTGACTACACTCTGTGATGCATCATTGTTTCGATGGTCGACTGCGTATGTCTGTACGTTAGTCCGTGAGTCGCATGGTACTACGGATGACTACACTCTATATAGTTGGGGCGCCTAGGACTTTGGAGAGCATTGATTATGGATGTGGTCCAACATTGTGGCTTCCATTATGTGATGGTTTATACTTTGACAAGTTTCTCACAGGATTATATATTTGTTCCCATGTCACCTACCTGAGGGTAGTGTGAGATACTATGATACGACATGTATGGCATTTTTGGATGAGGTATTGGTAATGTATTTCTTGGTTGATTATTTTATTCATAGGATTTTTTTGGAGTTGATATTTAGTGATTCACCATTTGAGATACATGGTATATATATGAGGATTTTCTTGTTTGGATTATTCGCTTGACGCACTCATCTCGTATTGTGGATTTCTAAATCTTAACTACACTTAGATATATATATATATGCTAAGATTAGTATTTTATACACCTAACCCCTTCCCCCTGGGGGCGGTGGAGATGTTCTTGCTAGCACTCTGACGCTCGTCGATTCCATCTTTTCAGGTAGCAGGTCATAGGTTTGGAGAGCCGCAGATTGATAGAGACTCTGCATAGTTATCGTCATTCATAGATAGTTATTTAGTGCTCCACAGTAGTTTATTTACAACTTTAAGTCTTGTAGAGATGTATTTCATTTTGTAGGTTGAGTGCCTTTGTATTGTTCAGTTGACTCTTTTGTTTTACAGACTCATTGTTATCATCTCAGATTATCATTTGTTCTTTATTTTCCTCTGTTGAGACAGATTTATAGATGTTGTTGCATATCTCTTCTTATTATTTTTATTTTTTATATTATCATATTTGTTATATCTGCTTGTACCCTCACTTCTTATTATATGACATCTGCTAGAGTGATATTAATGTTATGGTGAAACATGTTTATGCATAGTGTTGGATGCATGTCAGGTTTGATATTTTTGGTATCACCTTAGACTGCAACCATGTGTGAAACCAGGGATGTCACAGCTCAGTAGGGGCTTAGTGCTCAAATACCTCTTGAGGTCATTGAAGGCCTCACTACACTCCACCATCCAGCCAATACCTTCCTTTAATTCCTTGCACTACAACAAAATACATCATTGCCGACGAAACAAAAACGTCGGCAAAAGTTAGAAACATTGGGAAAAATCTTTCGCGACACAAAATGCAGCATCACTAACGCGTCACCAAAAGTGCGTCAAGGAAAATATTTGGCGAAGCAAACACAATGCGTCGGTAAAAGTCAACACTTTTGGCGACGCTTCATGCGTTGAGAAAAGTACATCTTTTAGCGACGCATAATATTTTGTGTCGGCAAAAGTATGCAGAATTTTTCATATGCAAAAGTGTATCGGCAAAACTTGTACTTTTGGCAACGCATGCTGCGTCGACAAAAGCCAATGCGTCGGCAAAAGTATAGCTTTTAGCGACGTAAAACTGTTTGTCACTAAAAATTATACTTTTGGCGACGCAAGTTAGCATTGGCAAAAGTGTAGCTTTTAGCGACGTAAAATGAAACATCGCTAAAAAACTATATCTTCGGTGACGCAAGATAGCGTTGTAAAAGATATTACTTTTTGCGACGCAATATAGCATCGACAAAAATATTACTTTTAGTGACGCAATATAGCATACACTGAACATGAACATCCACAAAAAATTTGCTCTCATTCACATCAACAAAGAAACCAAACATCAAATTATACTCCAAACAAGTTGCATAATATGATAAACAAAGAATTTGCTCCCATTGCAAAATAGTTACATTCATTTTCATTTCCAAGCAAACAACTAAACATAAGGAACAATTCATTGGTTCATTACAATGGCATTATACAGTACAAGTTTTTTTTCTTTTTTCCAAAGTGCATGACTAAAATTCCTCTTTCATTAAAACAAAAAATGTCTTCTGTTTAAAGGTCTCCATTGATATACATAATTTGTAAATTGTCTGGATAGAGCTAATCTCACAGTAAGTGAAAAGCACATATGGATTAACTTGTTTTAGCCACCATCAATTTTCCTACATAAATTTAGATAAAAAGATAAAAATAAGATTATATTCATTGTAAGATTCAGTCACTTGAATATATGCTTTAAAATATCAATAAAAACTCAACTAAACTTACCTCAAATGATCTTCTGTTTTGAAAAGGTTGACACATAACTTTTTTCTGCTTCCATATGTTTGTCTATTCCCTGGTCATTCTAAGGACAAAATATACATCAGAATGACAAAATCCAAACAAGAATGCATATTACTCAGCTCAGTTTTCTTGTAATTCAGTACAGAATTCAGTCCAGAAATTCTTACAATTTAGTCCAAGATTACAATTCAGTCCCCAAAAAATCTAGAAGTCACAAAAATTATAGTATACCCCTATAATTTACAGTGTACTCTAGGACAAAACCCAGAAATTATATTGAAGCCCAGAAATTCAGCCATAGTTACAATTCTAAGGACTAAAGATTTCAAGCAAGAAAGACATCACTATGACACAAAAGAGAAATTCATCACTTGGAAAAAAAAAGATAAAAATCTGTCATGATCTGGACCAGCTTACCTAGCTTCAGTCAAACCGAAATGATTCAGTAAAACACCACTGTGGGCGTCAACATTAGGCCATGGATTCTTAACCTGCAAAAAAACCAAACTGGAAGAATTAATCAAGAAAACTTTGTGAAGATAATCAACAGAAAAAGTACCTGACCAAATGAGTCCAAGAAAGCCTAAACACTACATAGTTTCTCAGTAAAGTCATATACAAGCTTAATTAGTTTTTTCCCCATCCAACCATCGACCAAAAACTCAAGTTGTTGAAAGCTAACATCAAAAGTTTTGAAGGAAAACTAATATTATGCATTGATTTCTATAGACCAAACCTTGAGATAAATCTGACAAGAAAGTGATGAAAATTGAACGCAGGGACTTACCTTCCCTAGCTCCGTAAGGATTGGAGGAACAACCGTTAGGAATATAAGCTTTTTAGACAAAGATTAACACGAATTAAGTTTTAAATAATTGATTATTAAAACAGATAATATCAGATAAATATTATAACTCAGAAATATAATTGAATCAAATAAAAGTTAGAAATACGGCCTGATGGTCGAGGCGTGCAAGCACTGTCCCAAGAATCTAATTGCCCCCTCTCGTACAGGGCTACACGGCAAAAGTTCCTGGAGATACAACGACCCTCGGTCAGGCGACCTCCTTCTCGTCGGCACGAGCTTCAAGAAGGCTTTGTGAATTCTTCGTGACTTTCAGGTAACCAACAAAAATGTAACAATAGTAAAATGAAGAGGAAGAACAGAGAAGTAGAGAGAATACGTTGTATTTTTCACACTGCGTTTAAGCTCTTGCGGCTAGGTTCTTTTATATGATTTCAATGAGTCATTTGCGCCCATAATTCCCGCAATAGAGTAATTAGCACATTTTAATTATTCACATTTAAAATCCATAAACTTCACCAGTTAATACCAGCGGTTTTCCTATCATTTAGATCCGTCAATCTCTCTCTCTCATTTAACACGTTTTTAAAACTTAATCACGTTTTAATAAATATTAACCACATTTTTAATTTGTTTCATGATAAACACGCTTTAATACTATTCGTTTAGATCCTTAATTTCCGCCTCTTAATTATGCTAGCCGTTTAACAAATTTTGAAAATATTAATCATGTTTTTAATGCAAAAAGAAAAGTTCAAAAGAGAAAATTAAAATGTAGCAGATTAAAGGCCCCTCAATCCGGAGCTGCATTCGTGTCCGCAGGTCGTGTGCGCGCGCCACTCGACCCGACCCGAACCCGAGCCTGAGCCCGGTCCGACCGGCGCGCGCGTGTGTGGTGTGGAGCATAACCTTTATTTTCTTCTAGGCATAGGAGAGAAAGGGAAGGCTTATAAAGACCCTTCCTTCCTATTCCATTTCCTATGTGGGACTAAACTTTCCCACTACAATATCAAGTTTTAAGTTATATTTATTATAACTCCAACAATTCCCCACATAACTTAAAACTTAAAACAATTCAGAAATAATAGTAAAAGAAGAACTTAAAAACAAATAAATAAGATTGCTGGTTCCCTTATACTATGTAATAGGTGGAGGTACCTTTCAGTTTGAACCTTCACTTAGTGACGGTTGTATAGATCCGTGAGAGCTTGGTGGACTATGCCTTGAACCAGTCTCATTTATCGGATTTCTACAGAAAGCACACATAGTACAGTTTTGAAGAATTCTAAACAGGTTGCGCTATTATCGGCCTTGCGCAAGTATCTTTCATGTGTGTTACTAGGGAGCAGCCCTGTTCCCATAGTCGCGGCCTCACAACTACACACATATGGGTGAATCCTAATAAGGATGCGAGCAAGTAAGCATCTTGCCTCATGGGTCTTGGATTCATTAAGAGTTTAACTCAACCTTTCACTTGCTTTTTATGAGCACTGATCACCCTAGGGATGGGAACAAATAGATTCAGTGCTCCTCATAATTAATCGCTCATTCATTTTATTTCTACCCATTGAACCTCTGCGAGGTTGGGTTGCTACTGCAGTGATTTTTCTTATGGGCGTAACCCCATCCCCCTCGATGATTCTAGGATCACTGCCCTAGATAAGCCTTTAGTTAAGTGTTCTGCAAGATTTTTCTCTGATCTTACAAAGTCTAAGGCTATTATATGATTTTTCATTTTGTATCTCAAGGATTTGTGTCGTACTTTCAAGTGTTGATTCATTTTCACATCTGCATTCTTTTGATGGCATTTGTCAATCGCTGACCTGCAATCACAATGAATAGAAATAGCTGGTAATGATTTTTGGATTAGTGGAATTTCAGTTAGTAAATCTTTCAACCATTCAGCTTCTATACTAGTAGTATCAAGATTCAGTTAGTAAATCTTTCAACCATTCAGCTTCTATACTAGTAGTATCAAGGGCTATCATTTCTGATTCTATTGTACTTCTAGCCATTAAGCTTCTATACTAGTAGTATCAAGGGCTATCATTTCTGATTCTATTGTACTTCTAGCCATTACAGTTTGCTTAGTAGATTTCAATGAAACAGCTCCTCCTCCTAAAAGGAACACAAATCCTGTGGTGGATTTTACATCTACTGAGTCACTAATCCAATTGGCATCTGAATAACCTTCTAGTACAGATGGATAACCTTTATAGTGTAAACCATAATTCATAGTTCCTTTTAGGTATCTCAAAACTCTTTCTAGAGCATCCCAATGACTCTTATCAGGATTAAGCAATGTCAGGTCTTGTGTAGTTTGCTAGGAATCCTAATGATCCAATTATTTGTGCATATTCTCTTTGTAATTGAGGATAACCTGTATTTTTCTTTAGATGTACATTATGATCATATGGAGTAGAAACAGGTTTACAGTTTGGATCATAAAAGTTCATGAGAATTTTCTCTATATAATGTGATTGTGACAGCACAAATCCATTCTCATTCTTCAAGATTTTAGTGTTAAGAATTAAATCAGCTTGACCTAAATATTTCATGTCAAAATATTGTGATAAAAAGTGTTTGATATCATTTATGATTTGTATGTCAGAACCAAAAATAAGAATGTCATCAACATATAAGCATAGTATCACAATTTTGTTGTTATTAACTATTTTATGATATACACACTCATCTGTTTGATTAATTACAAATCCATAAGATAGTATAAGTTCATCAAATTTCATATGCCATTGTTTTGGAGCTTGTTTGAGACCATATAGTGATCTAATAAGTTTGCATACTTTCTTTTCTTGTCCAAAAGCTATAAATCCCTCAGGTTGATCCATATAGATTTCTTCATCTAAATCTCCATTTGAGAATGCAGTTTTAACAATCATTTGATGTATTATTAATTTGTGAATAGATGCTAGAGCTATAAGGACTCTAATGGTAGTAATCCTAGCTACTGGAGAATAGACATCAAAATAATCAATACCAGATTTTTGGGTATATCCTTTAGCTACTAATCTGGCCTTATATTTATCTATTGTTCCATCTGGTCTGAGTTTCTTCTTAAATACCCATTTACATCCTATAGTTTTACAGCCTGAAGGAAGATAGTTTCTTCTTAAATACCCATTTACATCCTATAGTTTTACAGCCTGAAGGAAGATCAGTTAGTTCCCAAATATGATTTTGAACTATAAATTGTATCTCATTATTTATAGTTTCCTTTCAAAATGGAGCATCTACTGATTTCATTGCATCTTCAAATGTAATTGAAGAATCTTCTACAAGTAATGCATAGAAATCTTCATGGAGCTTTTATATTCTAGTTCTTTTACTTCTCCTAGGCTCCTCTGGACTTTCTGTAGGCATATAAAATTGCTTATAGGTACCTTAGCTCAGCTCGGCACAAACCGACAAACCAACGAGGCAACGAGATTGACTAATCGCACGCAAGCAACGGAATACGTCCATTCGTGTGCGGGATCAAGCCAAGTGTTCGAAGAGTCAACGAGTCATCCAACCAAGGGCATACTCGGACGAATCACGATCGAATCAAGATCGGTTTCGGACTCGAACTCAGAAGTGGATTTACTGCCAAATCAGGAATCCGACTTACTGCCAAATCAGGAATCCGAATCAAGTCTGGATAAATCAACCACAGAACCGAATCACAGATAGAACCAAGAGCGGAAAACGACGGAACAACACACCCGGAGGGGCTCGGCTCAAACCGAGCCACCTCAAGGTGGCTCGGCCCAAGCTGAGCCACCCTGAGGTGGCTCGGTGGCCGAGCCACCCCAGGGGTGGCTCGCCCAGTGCCGGCCACCCAGAGGTGGCCGACACTGTTCCGTGCGCGGGCACAGTAAAGAGTGCCTATAAATTGGCCACTTGGTTCATTTGTTCAGGGGTTGGAAATTTTGGAGGCGAAGCTCTGTCGGATTCAAGACTCGAAACTTAAAAAAGATTGGAGCTTTGGGACTTCGGGGACTCACTCTTCCAGATCTGGTGCTCAGCGATCGTCAACGCCAAAAAAAGCGGATCTCAGATCTACGCAGACGTACTCCGGATCTAAGCTTGGTCTTAGATCCCGAGACTTGGACGATTGTTTCCTTGGTGAATCAATCCTCCCCGGCTATTATTTCCTTTGTGGAATAATACCCGTCGTACTGCTTAGATCTGATCGGATCTAGATCTCGCGGTGGTCCACGGATAAACCCCGGCGCAGGCAAAGAACCCACACAAAGCAAGAGACCGCAAAACAGGATCTTGCGATTCGTTCGACAAACAAGGAGAAAGTTGTAATTTTCTTTATTTCTTGTGTTATTTGATTTTCGTTGTAACCGGATCTAAAAAAAGACCGATCTTTGTAATCGATAAACTATTACAAGAATTTGCAATGGAATCAATGATGAAGAAAACAACGATTTTCACCGCGAACAGTAAGATGTAAAGTGTTGTCGGAACCGAGAGATATAGCAGTAGTGCAGTCTGTTGACAAGAGACTTTTCTTCTTCCTTTTTGCGCTAGAGACATTCCTCAACATATTATTTGTAGGTTAAAATTTTAGTCCTCATTTCTTTGGGCCCGCCATATGTCTCTATTACGATGTGTTGACTCAGAACCTGAGAAAATGATGCGCCAATCTTTCTATTTCCAGCTTTTCATTAATGTAATTTGAATTTTTTGGGATCGTCATAAATGTTCTAGAAGAAGAATTGTTCTTTGTAGAAAACTACATGGGAGAGAACGTGCAATAAGAATCCCATCAAGACCATCCTCATACCGGTTGACGAAGAGGTTGAATACGAGTTCGACCAACAGAAATATGAGGAGTATATGTCTTCCTCCTCCAGATCATCTTCCCCTCAGAAGAGTAAGAGGATCTCCTCCACAAAGAAAGTTCGCTGGTCTTTAGATCTGAAGACCCAAGATAATGATGTCTGCCCCCATCACTACTACAGTTGCATCTCCCAACGCTCCTATGATGTCTGAAGAAGTTGGAT